AATTTAAAAAAAAAAACATTTTTCTTGTCTGTGACTTTCTAATCATAAAGCGGAAGCCTCAGGGCAATTTAGTATTAAGAGTACCTGTAGGCCGGGCGCGGTGGCTCACGCCTGTAATCCCAGCACTTTGGGAGGCCGAGGCGGGTGGATCACAAGGTCAAGAGATCGAGACCATCCTGGTCAACATGGTGAAACCCCGTCTCTACTAAAATTACAAAAAATTAGCTGGGCATGGTGGCGCATGCCTGTAATCCCAGCTACCCAGGAGGCTGAAGCAGGAGAATTGCCTGAACCCCGGAGGCGGAGGTTGCGGTGAGCCAAGATTGCGCCATTGCACTCCAGCCTGGGTAACAAGAGCGAAACTCCGACTCAAAAACAAAAAACAAAAAAGTACCTGTAGTTTCGTTGGTTTGTAGCTTTGTTTCTACGGTTTAGAGAATTTTGGTGATGTCATTTTCTATACAGCCTGACGCCAATTTTTTACCTCCCACAAATTTGACTTCACTTTTCCTTCCATGTAGTAAGCAAAAGTGAGAATTGAGCTGATTACCTTGTATATATCCTAGTGTGAAATGCCACAGTTGTCTTTTTCCAATCAGACAGGAGTTTACACTGACACCCTGTAAGTTTGTTCCCCACTCTGATCAAGAGCCTACTAGTTCGGTGTTGCATGACATAAAATTTATTTTTAACTCTTTCCGCAGTAACCATTACACATAGAGGAAAAAGCTGAGAATTATAGTAGCAAGGTGAGATAAGTAGGCTATCGGAAGTCAGATTCTAACAGATTTCAGCTCAGATTTAAAATGGAGCCAGGCGGGGTGGCTCACACCTGTAATTCCAGCACTTTTTGTGGCCGAGGCAGGCAGATCACAAGGTCAGGAGTTTGAGACCAGCCTGGCCAATATGGCGAAACCCTGTCTCTATTAAAAATAGAAAAAAAATTGGCGGGGCATGGTGGTGCGTGCCTGTAGTCCCAGCTACTCGGGGGGCTGAGGCAGAAGAATTGCTTGAACCCAAGAGGTGGAGGTTGCAGTGAGCCAAGATTGCGCCACTGTGCTCGAGCCTGGTAAGAGAGCAAGACTTCATCTCAAAAAAAAAAAAAAAAAAAAAGAGAGATTTAAAATTGAATGATTTGATAGCTGGAGTTCTTAACCCAGAGACTTTTAAGAACTCCAGTGGAATCTAGGAATGGCTTTGAGAGATATGTTTAAAAGTTAAATAAAATCACAAATGATGATACAAGCCTGGACTTTCCTGCCTAATCCTATATCAGTCCCAGTTCCAACATCTCAGAGGTGCTTTTACTCTTTCAGTTTTTCTGTTTTAGGTATTTCTGTTTCTAATAGTGTGCTTGTGCTGTGTTTTTTTGTTTTAAATATTGTATATTAGCTTCCAACTATGGAAGATGAGGAGTTAGCCGCCTTCCCAATCTCTCCCCCATCCCACCACATCCTCTTTCTTCATCCTCTCTATGTAGTTGTATTCTAGTTTTGGTTAAATAGATGATCAGTACTTACCTTTTTATAACTACACTAATATTTACATCCAAGCCATACAGCGCACGGTGATTATGTTTTCTCTTATGCAGTTGTGTTGTTGTTTTCCTGAAGTTACTGATTGGATAGTCCTCTTGCCTTGCTTCTGTATTGCATTTCCTGGATCCCTTGTTTCTTCTCTTCTGTTTTCTCTTGTAGTGGTGGAACACATTCTTCAGTAGTTTGCTGAGATACGGTGCATATGAAGTTGAGTTTTTGAGAGCTTGCATGCCTGAAAATGTCTTTATTCTTTCCTCATATTTGATTGGTAGTTCTTCCGGGAAATAATTCTGTCTTAAAATTTTGAAGGTATATCATTTTTTTGTTTTGTGGCTTTTAATGTTGCTGCTGAGAGAAATCTGATGTCATTCTGATTCACAAGGCTTTGTATAGGTTCTGCTTTTTCCTTTTTTTCTTTGACAGCTTTTATGATTGTCTCTTTATGTCTTGTGTTATTACATGCCAGAATAATGTGTCCTGGCTTAGGTCTTTTTACCTTCCATTTTCTTGAACACTTGGTGTGCCTTTTCAATCTGAAAACTCGTGTCTTTCGTTCTGGCATTATTTTTTTCTTTCTTCTCCTTAAAAAAAAAAAACCAAACAAACTGGAGTCTTGCTTTGTTGCCTAAGCTGGAGTGCAGAGGCATAATCATGGCTCTTAGCAGTCTCAATCTCCCAGGCTCTAGTGATCCTCCTGACTCAACCTCTTGAGTAGCTGGGACTACAGGCATGTGCCACCATATCCGGCTGATTTTTGAATTTATTGTAGAGACAGGGACTCCCTGTTTTGCCAAGGCTGGTCTTGAACTCCTGAGCTCCAGCAGTCCTCTACCTTGGCCTTCCAAAGTGCTGGGATTATAATAAGACACTGCACTGGGCAGGCAGTTTTTTAAAAAAATTATTTAATTTATTTAAAACTATTTTTTTCACTCCATTTTTTTTCCCACTTTTCCTTCCTTGGAACTCCTATCTGGTAAGTATTGGACCTTTTGGATCAATCCCCTTGTTTTGTTTTACCTTCTATCTCATTTTTTGGTGTTTTCCTGTTTGGAGATTTCCTCCACAAGGATACCTTCTAACCTTTCTATTGGATTTAAAAAATTTCAGTTTTAATTTCTAAGAGTTGTTTTTCATTTCTTGAAAATGTTTATATCATCCTGTCTTTGTTTAATTTATGTAATAGCTTCTTTTATTTTTCCTAAGGATGTTAATTATAGTTTCACAAAATTCTATTTCCTGCATAGTTTCTGTTCCCTCATGTCCGGCTTCAGTAATTTTTTTTTTGTTGTCGTTTTGATGCCTGTCATTCCATTTTGCAGGCTTTCTGTGAATGTCAGGTGATCCTTAGCTAACTAATTTGTGTGTAAGAGACAGGCACTAACTACAAAGCTGATTGGAAGCTCAGAACGTGCTGTGGAGCTTGTCTATAATGATTGGGTAGGGACTCAGCAGTTTCTTCATTGAAACCTCAGATATCACTATCTGTATAGATCTTTTCACTTGGACCAGTTCACTTTCCCAAGGGAGAAGCCATATGTCCTCTGTGTTGGGGTGAAAAGTCAAGCTGCCAGTGTTTTGGAGCCTGTTTGATGAAGACTGAGGGTCCCTGGGCGCTGAGGATCATACTGTTGAATAGATCCCACTTTGACTTCATCCTCCTGTTTTCTGTCTCATGCCCTCCCCTCACCTGTGCCTGGCATTTCTTTGTCTAGAACCTTTCCAATTCATTTGTTCCTGCTTTTGGCCAATGCTGTGGGGAGGGAATTACCCATGTGTGTGGCTTGATAGGGATTTTGGGCTCAAAATACTCCTATAGAAACTTTTAAGCCAGTACCTCTGCCTTTAGTGTATTTGGTGCCTCCTTTTTAGTGTTAGCAAATCCTACTCCAGGCTAAGGTTTTCAGATTGCTCTTGCCTGCTAATTTAGTTGCTACTGTCCATCTTCTTGCTAGTTTCCACAGTTTTGTTACCATCTCTTATCTGCTGTTCTCCCTCTCTGTTCTCTCTTTATGCTTAAAAAGTTTCTTTGCTATTACTTTGGTAGGATTGCAGGAAGGAGTAGAATCATTGGAATCATCTTCTTCAGGGTCTTTGCCCCCCCCCCTCCCAATCAATAATCAGTCTATTTTACTTATTAAGAGAGGTTACAAGGTCTTCTTATTCAAGACTTTTTTTTGTTTGTTTGTTTAAACGTGGGAGAGTTTCATAGAAGCATGATTTAGGTGTTGTCCAGAAGTTGTAGGAAGGGATTAGGTACTTTCTCAAGAAACCTTTTAATCTTAGCATTTTGCCTTCATATTTTCCATGCTTGTTGGGTAAGTGTTGAAATGTAGTTTTGTAATCACCAGAAGTATAGTGTCAGTGAATATTTTCATCATCACACCAAATCTTGTAGATGAAGAATATAGATTTTCAGTTATCAAAAATATGGTAGACTCTCTGCGGTGATGCATGTGTCCCATGTATTGATGAAGGTTTGGATTATACAGGTGTCTGCATTTGCCAAAACTTACCACGTGATATACTTGAGATGTCTTCATGTGGTAAATGTTACCTCAAACAAAAACCAGAAACAAAACTGTAAAGAAATATTAGACTCGAATTTAAATAAAAATACATGTGAGGACTATCAAAAATATATGAAAGTAGTTCTGTGAATTTTGCAAGATCATGGTTTTAAAAATTTTTCCATGTTGAAAAAATTGAAAATTTTCAATTAGGGGAGCAAATAAAGACTTATTCCTCTGAGGTGCATCACAACTACCTCCTGCATTCCTCTCCTCTCCCCTTTATTTTGTCATGTTTTGCCTATGCTAGTTACTATACTGTGCAGATCTATAGGAGTGGTGGGGATTGTCTTATTTAATATCTAATATTTAGAATGTAAGGCAAAAAAAGCCTTGGTATGTCCTTTTATTTTGATATTGTCTGTGGTTGTGCCTACTCTCTTTTGGAAGATGGGGTTATTTTTATTTTAGTCAGTTGAATTGAGCATCCAGTTTCTTGGTTTTAAACATTAGCTGGAGTTCTAGAGCTAGAAGCATGAACCAAGTGACCTATCAGTTGGATAAGACATTTGCAAGGAGAATTGGGGAAGGTATAATAGCATGGACTCTCACATTGATCATTCCCTTTTTAGATGTATTAATATTTATGTGCTACTTCATATTTTCAGAGTGCTTTCTCTTTAGTAGTTTTTTCTAGATTCACTCAAAGGTAGGTTGGGAGTAGTTTTCTCATTTCATGGGAGAGAAATTATAAACAGAGGGAGGTGGAGATGTGCCCAAGTGAGTCAATGCCAGAACCAGGATTAGAATATTGGAGGCAGACTAAGGAGAGTAAGTGGCAATGGGAATTAGGAACTGCTAAGTGCAGTAGTACCAGTGAAGACTACTAACTAGTTTACAGGTTTAGACCGGCAAGACTTTGGACTAACCAGAGACTGAATCTGTTTTATTGCAGGTAAAAGAGAACCTGCTTTCATGCAAGATGCTGTTACACTGCAAACGGGATGAGCTTCGGAAACTCTGGATTGAAGGAATTGAGCATAAGCACGTCCTGAACTTGCTGGATGAAATTGAGAATATCAAGCAAGTGCCTCAAAAGCTGGAACAGTGCATGGCCAGCAAGCACTATCTCAGTGCTACTGACATGCTGGTAAGGGTCATTTTTGTTAAGATGTAAAAGCACTCTTTTTTGTTCTCTCTGAGTCCTGTAATGCGTATAGCACATTACAAACTGCCCTCTTGGGATTCATGAGCCCTTGCAGCTGAAGCCTGACTGGTTCTCTTTCTAATTCTCGTGTTTGAAATGTTAGGTGATTATTATTTATGTATTATCTGCCTTTGTAACAATGGCAAGAAATATAATAGTAAGAAACCAGTACTTAAATCAGGTTAGAATGGTAATGAGAAGTGTTTTTTAGCTTCAGAGGAAGATAGTTAATGAATCCAATTTTAAAGAATGAAATCTACATGAGACAGAACTTCCGAAGATTTACATACTAGTGTTCCACACATTTTTTGAAGGAAATTTTACATTAGGGCTTTGTTCTTTTCCTTGAAATTGTTAAGAAATAAAGTTTTGGAAAACTAATACTGGAAGAAACTTTATTGAGCAAGAGTACTCCACAATCTAGCCTTTAGCCTCTATCTTAGTTCATTGTGCATGCTACTTTCTGAACTGCTAAAAGTTCCCAGAAGGATGCAATTGGTGGTTCATGTGGCCGAGTGCAAGAAGATGAATAAAAAAATAGAAATACAGAGTTTGCTCCCTAATAAACCTAACTTTCCAGGGCCTGTGGTTCTTAGAGAGGGCTGCTCTTTCTCCCTTCCCTTCTAGCTACCCAATCCCACTTCCATCTCATTCAGAGTTGGCTGAGGACTACAGGAGCTCTCAGCAGCAGATGGGCTGTATTTGAATTGTTGTCTTTTTCTTCCCCACAGTAGGTGGAAGCCCTTTATCTTTGTTTCACCAAATTAGATTGGCTTTAACACTGGAAAAAAACACTGAGGAGAATAGGTAGAGACACAGATTCAATGCTCTAAGTAGTTCCAATTCATTCGGACTTCCAAGAAGAATGTTGCTAAAAGTCCTTCCTAAGAAGCTTTTTAAGGAAATTTGGTAACCAAGGAGTGAGAAGTGCCATGATATTTTATCAGATATTAAAACCTGGTTATGTGATAAGACCGAATGGTCCATTTCCACAGTGGAAGGAGATTAATAATAGTTGGCCCTTGGCTGGGAGTTCGAGGCTGTAGTGAGTCATGATCGTGCCACTGTATTCCAGCCTGGGTGATAGAGCAAGACACTGTCTCAAAAAGAACCCAAAACAACAACAACAACAAAAGATTGGCTCTTGGGAGTGACAAAAGAATTGGCTCTTTTCAGCATCTTTTTTAAAGTGGCATCTTCTTTAATAATAATGACTATAGGGTGTCTGATAGAAAAAAAATTACTTTTCACCTTTAGTGTTGATTGATGCATTATGAATGCAGCTTGTGCTAAATCATCAAGATTCAGCAATCAGAATAGATAAGCATGTATATATTTATGTGGCAAATATACATCTATTTGAATCACGATTTTTTGGAGTGGGCTTGTTTTTAAGTAAGTGCCACAGACTAAAATAAGTTGTTAGAATTTATTTCTGTGTTAATTATGTTCATTTTAGGATTTCAGATTTTTGTGTTATGGTCTTTTTACTTAAGGGCTTATTTATTTACTGAATGGCTAATCAATAATGAATACTGTCCCTTTTTTCCTGACATATTCAAGACTCATTAAATACTTTAAATTCTTGGTTTTAAGTTACAGAAATTCACCTCTAGCTAGCTTAAGTAAAAATAATTGTTTGACTCATGTAACCAGTCTGACAAAGGAACAAGAGTATGTGTGGAATGTTGCCTGTGTGTTTTCTCTGCATGTCCTCTTCATTGTTCTACTGAAGACTGGTCTCTACCATGTGTGAGGGAGGAGGTTGGGTGTTAAGGGAAAATGGGGCATAGGCTGTGTCTACATCTTTCCACCTTTACAGAAGAAAATCTTATTTTTTTCCCCCTAATTCAGAGATCTAGGGTTAAGATCTAGATTGAGCCAGGTTGGGTATGATAATAATCAATAAAACTATTTGGTTGGGGTGGGGGTGTGGGTGGAACAGGGAGGAAGAACAGCCATGTCCACCAAAGAGTGTGTAAGACACATTTTCTGGAGGTTTTGTTCCATTTTCTCTGTTTGGTTCTTTATATATTCTAATATTCTTCTTGCCTGTTAGATGGATTGTAAATATGTTCTCCCAACTGGGGGTTTTCCCTTTGTTTATGGTGTCTTTGTTACAAATAAATTAAAAATTTTAATGCAAAAAAGTCTCAATTTCTCAGTATTTTTGTTATGTGATTTTTTTTTTTTTTTTTTTTTNTTTTGAGACAGTCTAATTCTATCGCCCAGGCTGGAGTTCAGTGGTGCAATATCAGCTCACTGCAACCTCCGCCTCCCAGGTTCAAATGAGTCTCCTGCCTCAGCCTCCCAAGTACCTGGGATTATAGGCATGTGCCATCATGCCTGGCTAATTTTTGTCGGTCAGGCTGGGTCTTGAATTCCTGACCACAAGTGATCTGCCTGCCTTGGCCTCCCAAAGTGCTGGGATTACAGGCGTGAGCCACTGTGCCCAGCCTGTTATGTGACTTTTGATGTAAGAAATTTTTTTCCATTCCAATGAATCTCCTCTGTTTTCTTCTTGAACCTATCAAAAGTCCATTTAAGGAGGATCTAATTTTATCTTTTTTCTATATAGCCGCTTGGCTCAGGCTGTTTATTGAATCATTTTCCTACTGATTTATAATGCTATTTTGGTCAGATATCACCAAGTTTTCACATATGCATAGATCTGTTTCTGAGTTCTTTATTTTGTTCAATGGTATTATTTGTACCTGCACCCAAACCATACTGTTTTAACTCCTATAACTTTATAATACATCTTGACAGAATATGAAGAGATTCTCTGATTTTACTATTCAAAATTGTCTTTGTGGGTGGACATGATGGCCCATGCCTGTAATCCCAGCACTTTGGGAGGCTGAAGTGGGCAGATCACTTGAGGTCAAGAGTTTGACACCAGTCTGGCCAACATGGTAAAACTCCATCTCTGCTAAAAATCCAAAATTAGGTGGGCATGGTGGTACATGGCTGTAATCCCAGCTAACTCAGGAGGCTGAGGCAGGAGAATCACTTGAACCTTCAGTAGCTAATCGATTGAATTTAAGAGATTATCTTTGCAATGTTAAGTCATCTGTGAACATAGTATTCCTTTCATTTATTAAAATCTTCATTTGTGTCCTTCAATTAATGCTTAGCAATATATTCCTTAGAGATATTATATATATTTTGTTAGATTTATTTCTGGGTATTACCTTTTCTTGTCTTTTGAAACAGTAGCTATTTATTTATTAAGGCTTCTAGTTATTGGTTGCTGGTGCATAAGGATGTGATATATTTTTCTTTTTTAATTGACCATATATTTCCCTGAACTGATTCCCAATACTGTCTGCCTGGAAAATGATGACTTATTTTTTAAGACTTCGCTCAAATTTCATCAACTGTCTGAATGTTCCACATATTCAGATAGCTAGGTGCTTTTCTTTATGTTTCCATTACATCGTATGTTTCATTTTAATATAATTCTTTTTGTTTGTGTAGTAGGTCATTGAGGGGAGGGGTTTTGTCTTATCTATTTTTGTCTACCCTGTTCTTAGCATAGTGTATCTCATATAGTCAGAGTTCACAAATTGTTAGCTAAATGGGTGACTATCTGGAAGACTTTAATACCACTACCTAGAGAAAAAGGTGTTTCTTTTGTGCGAGCTTTGTTCTGCTTTTTCTTCATTATTTATTGTTTAATGGAAAGGTTCTCTAGTTTTTAACCTTTCCTTTTTGTAATAATTAAATGAATGACAATGATAACACTAGCGAGTATATATTGAGTACTTACTATGTGCTGGTACTATTTGAAATATGTTACATTTGTTGACTTATTTCTTTCAACAACTCCACTTCTCATGTCATTACCATTTTACAACTTTGCATGATCTGGGGAATTGGCATATCTCAATACACAATGATTTGTATATTCCAATATACAGAGATTTCGTGGAGGCAGGATTTAAAATGCACTTAAAAGATTGGGAGATACCTTCAACTTGGTCTTCTGTATATAAAAGTGAGTAGTAAGCTCTATAATTGCTCTTTTATTGGGCTTCACATGAAAAACAATCACATTTTTTCCCCTTGGTTATGTGCTGTTAGAAGTAAAATCTACTTAAGGCATCTCAAGGGTCCAAATGGAAATCTTTGCTAAAAGACATCAGTGGAAAGTGAAGACAAAACAATCTAGTCTTTCAAAACTCCCTGATTTCCTTGGATTTATTTGTCAGAAGATTTTGCATTTCCATTTTAAGTCAGATGCAGATGCTTAGTAATTTAATCTCTACTCAGAATAGATTAATAAATCCAGAGTAAGTAACTCTATGGCGACCCATTGCTCTTGGTAGCTCCTGCTATTCCTACTTCACCATCAGACTGGTCTGGTAGCTATAGGCTTGGCTTGTAGGTGAGATATTTATTTCTTCTTTTGATATGATAACCTGAGTATTGCATAAAATAATTAAATTGTCATGACAGGGAACGTCTGCAAATAGGTCTGGCCTTTTGTTTCTTTCTTCAAGGTAAACAGCCGCTGTTGGCTTATGAAAAGCTAAAAATGATCTTACAAGAAGCCTGTATCCATCACATTGAAATCAGAGACTTGATTAATATTGTAGCCTGTAGCTCTGTGATATGTGTGGTTTAAATTAGACCTTTGCAGTCATTGTGCTGGGTTGATGCAAGCACATTAATGACATAATTTCTGGTTGCTGCATCACATTTCTGCAGTCTGTCCTTTGTATTCCACTCACATTAATTGAAGTAATTTTGCCAGTGAAGCGTGTTTCAAACCTCTGCATTTAAATTGAAATTTTAATTCCCTTATTGTCTTGAAAAGACGGCTGAAGATGCCTTGTTACAGGTTTCATTATCACTCAAAACACTCCAGCTGCTGGTTCTAACGTACAAAGACTGATTAATTCGGGGAAGAATTATTAATATAAGAATAGCAGCTTCTT